AGGGTGAGGGGCCGGGCCGGGAGCTCGCTGGTGGGACGGCTGGGGAAGGAGACAGCGCCGGGGCTGGTGTCGTTCTCGTCCCAGTGAGCGTGTTTTTTCCCGCCCTGCAGCTGGCGGCGTGCTGGCTATCGACAAGGCCAGGGAGCCCATCACCTTGGTGTTGGCGGAAGATGGCACCATTGTGGATGATGAAGACTACTTTTTGTGTCTGCCGCCTAACACCAAGTTTGTGGCGCTGGCTAAGAACGAGAAATGGTCCAGCAAGAACTCAGGTACTCCGCGGATGAGGGCGCGTGGAAAGGGAGGGGTGGTCGGGGTGCACTCGACCTAGGTGCGAGTGCGCTTGGCGAGGTTATCCCGACTCCCGTGGACCAGGAACGACCTGTCCGGCCTGGTTCCTCGCCCTCGTAAGGAAAAGGGTTATGCGCTAGAGGACTTAATCCTTCACAAAGGAGTGAAAAAAACAGCAACCAATAAGAGCTGTGAAACTGAAAAGATCCTAAGGGGCTAAGCATGACGACTGCCTGCTCTAAACGTTATACCAGCTGATCAGCCAAGCAGGGAGGTCAAGGCTAAGAGACACTACGTTCAGCAAACGGCAACTTAAATGCGCTGTACCAGCAGTACAGATTTCGCTGCCCAATTCTGACACAGAAGCAAAAGAGCCTAAACAGTGGTAAACAGCTTCAAACAGGATGTTATGACTCTCCTTCCTGCCTTAGTAACTTTAAAGTTTCCATCTTCTGACTGATGACTTTTTTTGTGTCAGATGGTGGTACTGCCTGGCTCTCGGAGTCTATAGATGAAGTGGACAGTGCTGTAGAGAAGTGGAAGCAGCTGGCCAGGCAGCTGAAGGATGACCTGTCTAATATAATCTTGATGTCTGAAGAAGACCTCCAGGTACGAAGGGGACTCCCCTAATTGCTCCTTTCCATCTTTCTCCTCCTGCGTTTATCTCAGCAGACAGCAAAGAATCTAGTAAGAAACAAAGTATCTCAAGCTTAAATTCAGAGGCTGTTGTCTGGCTGTGGTACTAGAGTCAAGTTCCTCCTTGAGGGAAAATATTTGTTCCCTTGGCAGTGCAAGTGTCTGAGAAGGATGCTCTTAATCACTGCCCCTCAAAGCACGACTTTACAGTTCTGGCTATGGAAGGGCAAAGGTCAGGAGCTGGCCAAACAGCAACTGAGGTGGGCTCCAGACACCGGTTTAATGTGTCAAAAGGCAGCACTCCAGTGCTGACCAGCACTCCAAGTCTGTCTGGTCCAGAGGGTTTTGCAGACCTCTTGTCAGCTTCCAGAGCTCGTCATTTCAGTATCTGACTGCTCAACACCTTGTATGTGGTGAGACTTGATGATAGCTGCTGCTTCTTGTCTTCTTGCAATCTGTAGCTTCCAAAACGCCAGACTCTGTTGGCTTTCCTTTCTGTATTGCCATGCACGTTAACAAGTGGAACTTTGATTGCTAGAAGTTTTCAGGATTTCCATTTTAAATCCACGTGATTCCATCCCTTCCTGAATGCCTTTTGGCTGCTGGTAAAGAGTGTTGGCTGGTGGAGTATCACTACAGCATCTCGTAACCGGGCTGACTTGCTGTGACTTGAAAACATTGTAAAACATGCAGGGCTTCCACAAAGTAGAGAGTCTGCGTCACTCAGGAAGCTTGCTGTTTGTACTGCGGTGTAATGGCATGAGTTACTAAATCAGTTCACATAGCAGGAGCCCTCTCATTGTTTTTTAAGGTGCTTATTGATGTACCACGTTCAGACCTGGCAGAGGAACTTGCGCAAAGTCAACCTAAAATCCAAGTATTGCAGGACACCCTGCAGCAGGTGCTGGACAGACGAGAAGAAGAACGCCAGTCAAAGCAGCTCCTAGAACTCTACCTAGAGGCCCTGAAAAATGAGGATAGTATCCTAAGCAAAGTAGCAGGTAAGGGAGCCTTAGGTTGCTAGAGAAGGAGCTTTTCAGATAAGACTGAAGGGGTTGAGTAGAATAAATAAGGGGAGGGGAAGGCCTGGAGTGAGTCACTTGCTGAGCAGCTATTAATGTGGCTGATGTCATAGCTGATGAGCATAATTCTTTCGCTGGGTGAGACTAGGAGTACTCTCACTGCTGTGTCCCACTTCTCACAATGCCCAAAGCTAAAGACTGGGGAAAAGCTTAAATCATACGGTAATTTTTGCCATTACGGATTTCTGAAGCTTAGAGGCTGCATCTAAACACTCACATTACATCTTATTAACATCAAAAACAACAAAGCAGTTCAGGCAACTCTTCCTGTCCTATCCTTATGTCGCAGGCTATAATGATTCTGCTACTTTTTAGAATCTGACACTGTACCAAGAAAGGAGATGGATGTGGTTGACACAGGTACCAGCAGTACAGGCATTTCTGCCAAAACAGCTCTCAGTGACCAGATCCTTGCTGCTCTGAAAGAGAAACCTGCCCCAGAACTCTGCTTGGACAGTCAAGATTTAGAGGTGGGTGAGAAACAACCATCTTCTGGCACTCCCTCTAGAGAGAAAGGTTGCAAGAGAAGGTGTCCTTGCCTCTGGAGGCTCTACCATCAATAGATCTCAACCTCAGAGTGATGAAATTTAGTCTGTTTCTGCACTTCAGTAACCTCCCTCTCCTACTTT